GCTGGGAAGGAAGAGGGAGCAAAGACATCGCTCTCTTCTGTCATTTGACAGAGCTCAGAGATTTGAGTGTGTTTTCCCAGAGTGCTGAGTGGGTGCCTGGGCGCTGATCCAGCAGGGAACTGGTGTTGCTGGTCTGGTGCAGGTAACACAACGATCTCCAAGCAGCCAGAGGCTCCAGGCTTCAGTGCTGACCCTGCAAGAGGAACATTGGATGTTCCCATTAGTTTGAGGTTTTTCATACCCAGCTTTAGCCTTGGGTTACTGTGAGGGTGGTGAGACACTGGCACAGGTTGCCCAGGGAGGCTGTGGCTGGCCCCACCCTGGGCATGTCCAGTTTGGATAAGGCCTTGAGCTACCTGCTCTGGTGGGAGGTGTCCCTGCCCAGGGCAGGGGGTTGGGGCTGGATGATCTCTGAGGTGCATTCCAACCCCTTAACATGCTGTGACACTGTACCATGCCATGTCGACCCTGCAGGTCTCTGAACGTGGATATGGAGTGGCTGTACGGCGCCAGCGAGAGCAGCAACATGGAAGTGGATATTGGGTACCTGCCCCAGGTGTGTGCTCACTCCCAGGACTCCATGTGTGCAGCATCCCCACGATGATTTATGCTGCCAAGGCCCCCCAGGCTGTGTCACATCCATTATCCTGTTCTTTACAGCCTTCTCCTGAACATTTCAATATAACAACATCATTTCCATTGATCTGTCTGTCCTCTGCAGCTCTGTGGTTCCCTATTGCCAGTTCTTGTGATGTTTTCCTTTTTCCCCTCTGTGTGGGTTGAATCCTAAGCTCCTGGAGTTGTACTTCCTTTTTCTAAACATTGTCTGACAGGCAGGAGGGGAAGATGAGGAGCTGAACCCAGGCCCAGAGCCCAGACAGGGCTGTGAACAGCAGTGGGTCTGAATTTAGAAACTGCATGAGGTTGTTCCTCTGTTTTGTGGTAATCCTGGCTCTTGGGACAGGAAACATAAATCAGGAGTTTGAATGCCTGAATTTAACAATTCCATTTTCTCCTAAACTAGGTCCATGTTTATTTTTAATTGCCAAAACCCAGGAAAACAGAATCCTTTCAGCTGTAGCAGAACACTGAGCCACAGGGAAGCTCCTGAGCAGCTTTTGCTGTTGCACCCTCTTGTGGCTTCCCAGGGGCTGAGCAGGTGATGTGAGCAAGAGCTTCAAATTATCCCAGCAGGTCCCAAAGATGTTAAGGATCTGGTGTCCCACAGTCAAAAATTTCCACTGGCAAGGTGGGAACACGGAGTCTCATGGATTTCCAAGCTAGTAAGCCCAGTCAGACAATAACTGAAGGAAATGAAGTTGCTTTCCTGATATATCTGCAGTGGGTAAAGTGCAGCTCCAGGAGATGGGAGATCAAGCTGTATCTTCATTAGAAGCTGCACAGTGTTATTTTGCATCTTTATCCTGTCCTGGAGTACAGAAAAAGCAGGAGTGGGATGTCTGCAGTGTCCAACTCAGCCTGTTCTCCTGCAGATGGAGCTGGAATCGACAGGGCCTTCAATCCCTGCCGTGATCCACGACGAGAACGGAAATGTGATTGACAGCAGGGATCCCTCAGGGGAGCCCATCCAGTTTGTGTTCGAGGAGATAACCTGGCAGCAGGAAATCCCCTGGGAAGAGGCAGCCCAGAAGCTGGAAGTGGCCATGTATCCATTTAAGAAGGTAAGCAAGGGGCTGGGCTCTTCCTTGGCACGTTTATTTAGTGCAGGTTGTCCTCCCTGAGATGTCCAGTCACCTCACAGACCAGCAGAAAGCAGAGACCACAGTGTGAGCAGCATCCAGAGCCGTGTGAGACTCTCCCAGCTCAGCATGTGCCTCCAGGCACCTCTTGATGGTCTTCAGTTTCCAGATGGAGGAGTGCAGCAACATCTCTGAAAGGGCATTTGGGGCCACACAGCAGCACAGGCAGGAGCAAAGCCTTAATGTCAGGTGTCCCAGGCTTGTATTGTAAGTGTAGGCTCATCCTTCCTGCTCCTTATCAGTAGCTGCTGCCATGATTCCAGAGGAGGCAGATGATCATGCTGCTTACAAATGGTTTTCCTTTGGCATTACTTCTGCAGCATTCAGGTACCTTTGGACCAAGCTTTCCTTATCAGCAGAGAACACACAACCTGCCTATGCCTCTGCATCCTGCAGTGAGACGCAGATTTATAGCTCTGGGTGACCCAAACTATTTAACATGCCAGCAGCCTGTGGAGCAGATGGCTACTGCCTGTCACTGCTTCCTTGGCTGAAGGGACACATTTCAGTGGCTGTCTCCTTGTGCCTGAGCTTACAAATGTCCCTTCAGGCAGCCAAGATATTCATATCAGTTCCTTTCATTTGAGTGATTGGAACAGTCTCTGTGCAGAGTCCCTTGTAGCCAGTTTTTGGGCTGTTCCACTGAGGTTCTGTGGTAAATGTCTCAAGCCCAGATTTCCTGGGCAGCTGAGGTGGGTCTGCAGACAGCCCACCTGCCATTGTGCTCTCTGCAGTGTGTACAACTGGGGCTCTGCAGGTGCCAGGGACAGCCACAGGCTGTGAGGGATTACAGTCTCCCCAGGAGATGAAGTTGTCCCTGGGGAAACCACCACGGCTGTCATTTTCTGGAAGCTGTGCTGCAGATTGAGCTGTGTGTGTGTCACCCATGGGCTGTGGCAGGTCTGGTTCCTTCAGACCTCCTGTTTGAGCTGGGCAGGTCTGTGTCTGTTTCTCATGCTGTCTCTCTGCCTCCAGATCTCCTACCTGCCCTTCACACAAGCTTTTGAGAGAGCAAAAGCAGAGAAGAAGCTGGTGCACTCGATCCTGCTGTGGGGTGCCCTGGATGACCAGTCCTGCTGAGGTGAGGACATTCCCAGCCTGGCTGGAGGGATGTTGTGCCTCATTTGGGCTCTAAGGAGAGCTGGGGGTCAGGGAGTTGGTCACAAGCCAGCAGTAAATGTTGTGTTACTCATTTTGGCACTGAAGATGCTGAATAGACAAAGGCTGGAAATGGGAAATTACTTACGAGCTTAGGTCTTCAGTGGCAGATTCAGATCTATTTGAGACAAGCCCTAAACAAACCTTTAGTCCTGTCTGCTCTTAAAAACTCTGCAGCACTAGGCTTTGCTTGGCATTAACTGCAAGAGGCACTTAGGGTGGATCCACAGGGCCTGACCAGGCAGCTTCCATGGCAGGTTTGTCTTGGCCCTTCTGTGCCTGGCAAGTGGCTCAGGGTCTGCTCTGGTGAGTCCTCTCTGCCAGTAGCACCTGCAGGAAACAAAAGCTGGGGAAAAACTGCCAACAAAGGAGAAAAAACACAGTGGGCTGGGCTGGGGGGAGCCTGAACCAGAGTGGTAGCATCGTGGTGGCATAAAGCATGGCAACAGTCAGCTCAGGGAACCACAACCCTGTCTGCCTCTTCCTCTGCCAGGTTCGGGGCGAACTCTCCGGGAGACAGTCCTGGAAAGTTCGCCCATCCTCG